GCCATCTGGTTGCCATTCTCAATTGATGGGGAGGGGGGCTAGCGGCGCGGGGGGGGGCGTATTGTGGAACCTGGCCTTGGGGCGGCAGGTGGAGTAAATCCGGCCCTGACCAACTCACCTCAATGCAGCATTGTGGTGTAAACAGGGCACATAGGAATCAATTGTTTACTATGTGCCCTAGTGTTCAGCCTCGTTGATCTGTGCAGAGTAACGTAGGTCAACGTATATGGTGTAAACAAGCTCTCAGACAAGACAAAATCAACCCAAACGGTTCTTTTTTTATTTTATTTTGGAAAGCTTGTTTGTGTTGACATAACACGGTCACACATGCTGTTGTGAATGGCCTGTTCAGGTTAAAAAAAAAAAAATAATAAGATTGTGAAAAGCCTTTATGTATATATTTATTTGAGTATTAGGTAAAAGGTTATGGTTCCGATGGGGTATGGTTAGTGTTAGGGTTTATTCCCGCTCATGCATTTTTAAAATGCTTACATAAAATTCTGTAAAATTTGCATTTATTTTTAGTAAAATGCATGTATTTGTTTTTCATGCATTTATCTCTATGGAAGAAGTGTTTTTGTCAAATTGAATCAAATTTTTTTCCTGCGATGGAATATAAAGGTGGATTTATGCATTTTGAGGTGCATATAAATGCAGAAGAAACAAACAAAGTGTGAACAAGTCTTTAGTGTCAAAGTAACAGGGTCAGTTAACAAGGATCGGTTAGGGGTCACTGAAAATTTAGGGGAGGATAGATCAGGTCATGGAATACTAAGTGATGGGCTATAGATTTATCAGGTGCTGTAACTCCTCCTGCATGACTCACGGTCTTCTCAGTCCATTATATACAACACTACTCCTTGGTTTATTGAGGAATTGTCCTAAGATTTTGTAGAGAACACCAGAGACTCTAAGGAAAACGTCAGGAAAAAAGGTTCCTTTACACCAAAGATATTGCTTGGGTTTAGGTGGAGGTTGTGGACAAATCACAGTGATTTGTGGATAGTGAATTACGGGCCACTTTGGAACAGTCAAAAAGAGAACTTCTGTAAATGCAATTCATGGGTGCAACTAGACCCAGACCTATTCTGGGGCCTTGCCCTGTCTAATTGTTTTACAGCAAAACAAATTATGAAAGTCTAGGTCTCTTGTAAATCAAGATCTTTAAAATATAAATGACCAATTTTTGGAAATAAAGACAGGAATGTTCGTGAAACTGAAGCCAAAGCTTTTATAGTTTTTGATGGTGGAGAGGAGTTATATCCCGTCAGTCTGACCATTATAAGAGTTTAAACTGTTTTTTTCTTTTTTGTTTTGTACATGTAGCTGCCATTTGAAGTTGAGGTCTATTACATCCAACACATCCTGCTTTACATAGTTCCCATTTACCTACTGCGGAAAGGAGGTAAGATTAGCTATATTTGTTTTCTTATTTATCTGATATTTTTACTTCTTTTTTTTTCCCCTGCAAATCTTCAAACATATTAAACAGCATGTGGAACAAAATGCAACAACCAATCAGAATTCTTTTTACTGAAACCCCCACAAGAAAATTGTGTATTCTAATTGTTTGCTATGCGGAGTTCATTAAACAAGCCCCTTAGTCTATGTGGGTTTGATATATGGATGTGCTTGTATGCATTTCCTATCAATCATTTTACATGTGAATTGTCTAACTGTATAGCTAGATAAATTGTATTCAATACAGCAGGTGACTGCGATTCCCTAACAGTGCCATTCAGGTACTCTATTCTTTATTTTGAAAGAAATTCAGCTTATTATGATCAGACCATTGCATCCATATAGTGGTTCTGCCAAACCTACGATTTATTGTCTTCCAGCCAGATACATAGGCACCACTGTCAAACAAGGATGCCTATTGTGAAGAGGAGTGTGTGATTACTTTTATATTATTTAAATATTTCAGTGTAGCAAGGCACAGCAATTGATCTGTTGCAAGCAGCAACACTTTATTGTATTTCTTGGGTCTTTGTATTCCGTGCCGTGTTGTGTAGAATAATACAACCAGCCCAGGGACATGTATGCATGTTGGTTGGATCCCCGGCCAGCAGTCAGACTGTATTGCCATTATACTGCAGGCTTCATCTCTGACTGACCACATATGTTGGAGGAAACTGGCCTTACAGACTGTACAGAACTGTAAACAGATAACCCCTATGTGTAAATATTACTGGCTGACATGGGGTGACTGCAATGGTACTTGGTTGTTTGTGGGTACTCGCAGACGCTGCCAACCAATACCATTCAGTGGTCAGGCTGAGATGCTTGTCTGAGCAATATTTTTTCTTATAAGATAAGCCAGTGGTCTCTATGTACCCCCTCTTTCCATGAGCATAAATACAAATACCGTGTGAATTTTTGCATTTATGCTCCCGGCTTCCAAGTGCTTTCGATGAGGATTACTGGATTGTGCCTGTATGTCCTCTTATCCTCTGAAGTGTAGGATCAGCCTTACAGAGCAGAAACTAGGAGACTGGGATGGATGTATATCATCTAGTCTTCAAAGCTACAATTTTAGAGTGACACTAAACTCGGGAGTTAAATCTTAAATGCATTCAACAACCCTAATTAACTGTTACCAAAAATGTATCTTATTTGTGTATCACTCGGCTGCAGATCCTCAAATCATCTCTGAGTTGGTGCTGACACTGTCCTTCATTCTGGAGGGTGTCTACTTTTGTTCCCCATGGTCCCTGTGTGTGTTGTAAAGTAGTCACCGCTCCAAGCTCACTCCCATGATGGACTGCAATCTCCGAGTGATACACAAATAAGATACATTTTTGTTAATAGTTAAAGTGACATTAAAGGATATTCCTTTACTGCACTCTGAAGCTTTATTTTGAAAATGCAGTTTTACATGCTCTACAGACTGCTTAGAGGGCTGCAGGAGGTGATCCTGTCATTGTCTACGCTCATTCATTGTTCATCGATGTTCTGCTCGATTAGAAATCAAACTGAGCAATGCCATTCAGATATCATGTCAATGAAATTAATTCAGCTTATGCCAGTCAGTTGTTGATGGTCATGTTGATTGATGCATAACCCCCCCCCCCCCCACAAAAGGGAAGTTCGTGAA